TTTAATTTTTAATTTTTTTTTTTTTTTTTTTTAGTGGATTTCTTTCACTAAAACATAAATCTGTTTATTCATAAGCATAAATCTGTTCTTTATTTCTCTTTTTACATTTCTCAGCAATATAAAGACACAAGATCTTTTAAATATATAAAATATTATGCCAAAATTATTAAAATTGAACAAAATCTATATGTGAACATATATCTTAAAAATATACTTTTTTGTCTGTGTACAGCATTTTCAAAACATTTTGAAATTCTTATCACATTATAATCTATATTTTTTAAGGGCAGCTTGTTTAAAGAACATTGTTAACAAATTAAAGTCCAAAAAAATTTCAAAAATTTCTTTCTTTTTATGTAGCGCCATTTGAACATTTTCTTCGAATGTTTTCAAACTTTTCTTCTTTTTTTAAAAAAAACTATCATGTTTTTATCACACATGATTCAATTTATTACTTATTATCTAATAAGTAATGCGATAAGATTTTTAAAAAAATCTATTATTCAGCAGATTATATATAATTTCCTTAATATTAAAAATTGCCATAGGAAATAATATATGACATTTAAATTTTTCAATTTGTATAATGAAACGTTAAATTAATATTTATTACAAAATAGTACGATCAGTAATATATCGGATAGAATGATTTCTCTCGTATTTGATATTTCTTAATGTCATAACTTATTGTCAACACCTCTTCATTAAGATTCTCAAAAATATATAATAACTATGTAACTTTTTCATTCTTTACTCTTATTTTTTTTTCAATTTAATTATCAAAAATTATATGAATAAAAATCTAAATCACTGCATTGCAACTCTATCACCAAACCCCCCACTTTTTACGATATCTAGCTATCGTTCTTTCATCACTTTAGATTGAATCTAACCTAAAAATCTAGTAAAATGAAGTGATATTTTGTGTTCTTTGAATATAAATAAATTATACTGAAACAAAAAATTAATCAATTCTAAAAAATATTCCATAATTATAAATTTTTTTCATTATATATTTTGTATTTTAAAAAGAATTACGAATTATACATTGTTAGCAACTGATCAATATGCGCAAGTACGATATTATTCGAAGAATTTGTACATATATAATATTGCTAATATAAAAAAGAAATTATGAATTTAATATATTTCTAATAAAAGATGAAAATATTTTGGAACAGAATATAAAATATGTTTATTTTTATAAATGTACGATTTATGTGATATTTGATAAATCATTATCATATGTTGAATTTCATGTTTTCTATTTTTAAATGCTACAAATATAATCTCAAAAATTATTATAAATTAGTAATATATTTTTTTATATTCATAATTAAAACTTATATAAATTTGAATTTATTAATTACTAAGTTATTTTTACAAGCATATATTTATCTTCTTTTTTATTTTGAAATTAAATATTGTTTCTTTTTTTCTCTGCCTCTCATATTAAATATTTATATTAAATATTGCATTTTTTTAAATATATTTTTTATTGAATATCTCAACAAAAACAAGAAAACATCAAAAAATAAAAGAGATATAAAAACATTTTCTATAAAATTTAACATGAAACATACATTATTCTTTTTATATTACACATAATAATTGTCAAATTTTTATTTTGACAAATTTTAATTAATCAAAAAAGTAGAAAACAAACAAAAAAGGAAGTAACATTTAAAATCAATTTTCCGTATATTTATAAAACGATTATAAATATTCTTTTAAATAAAAAATATAATATAATTGAAAAAATATAGTAAATATTTTATATTTTAATACATGAAAAACATTTTAAATCATTTTATAAAATTAAAATGAAACAAAGAAGCTGGTTGCAAATTTTATTTCATTAATTATAAAATATTGAGAAATTTGAATAGAAGTTCAAATCATTTAATACACATTTAAATATTAATAAGATTATTATCATATTAATATTTCGTTCTCCATTTAAAAAAAATCATAAAAAATACAAGATTAAAATAAAAGCATATAAAATTATTATACTTTTAAAATTTAATTAAATTTTATCTATGAAAAATATATAATTATATTTTGTATTCTCCATATAAAAATGAACTTATTAATATATATATGTACGAAAATGGACAAAAGTTAGTTACATATCAGTGTTATAATTATAAAACTCACATAATTTTTATATTGATGAAAAGTTTCATAAACAAGTTGCGCTTTGTAAAACTTTTTAATTCATTATTATAATTCATTGTCAAAAATAAACATAATAATTGTCGTTAGAATTTATCATGTACCGAGCCAAAAATACTTACTTTAAATATGAAATCAGAAAAAATATATAGAAAAAAATCAAAATAACTTAAAAATCTAATAGATATTAAATTAAATATTGTAGTACCGTAATGACCCCATCCTTAATAATGAATTTTCGGCTTCGTACGATCATGCCCACGACCTTCTTTGAGACCTTGGCGGGCATATTCACGCACTGCGCGCACAGACTCTTCCGTTTTTTCAGTTTCATTAATTTTTAAAAATCCGATGACACTGTGCGAGTCATTTTTCTGTGATATTCTCACACAAGCACAAAAAGCGTTATTAGCTTTAAATCTTTATAGTTGTATCTACATAATGTAACAATCCATAGTTAACCATGTCCGCAGGCTACTACAGACTATCAGGTGAGTGTAATATATTTCATAAAGAATGTAGAATAGAAAGTGTAACCAATATAGAAATTGTATGCGACGAAAGTGCCACCAAGTAGTAATATGAAGAAACATCATTGATACATCTCTATCTCCATAATTAACAAGTTTTAGTTTCATAATAATTTTATGCACATAAAAAAATAAACATTTGATGTTTGACAAAATGTTTCTTAAAATATGTCTTTATGTCTTAAAAATTATAGAAGTTCAAATTTGAATAATTTTATTCTCTGTAGAAGATTTATTTTAAATATCCACAACTTCGTTATGTGTGCATTACATAATTTTTATACTTCAAAATATATTTTTCCATGTGTAAATTATATTTAATTTTTAAATAATTTTATTTAATTTTTATTATGTAAAAAATTTTAAATAAATATATGCACATTGCATTAAATTTTAATTAATAATAAGTGATAAAGAAAAATTTTTTATAATGTATAAAATAAATCAATTATAAAATAATTTTTTATTTATTAAATAAGTTTTAATATATATATAATTAATTAATAAAATATTCGATTAATATGTCAAGAAATAAAACTTATATAACTTATAAAACAATTTTCAATGAATCAGGATTCAATGTATGACTTATACTGCTTTCTGTGTACACGACATAAATTTATAACTTGATCGTATCTAACGCATAGCACCGCAAGAGTGCGCATTATTCAGTGAAAAAAAATGGTGGTTATTTGGGTGTAGTCGGGCGATTTTCTGCAACACAAATGTGAGTACCGGCTGACTAAGGAATTACGAGTGCTGTTTGTCAGTGCATCGCAAAGCTAATATGACCGAAACCATATCGGAGGTAATGAAACTATTAATATCCGAACAAATTTCTTACATTTCTATGCGAAAGCAGAACTTTAAGTAGGTATTGTTATTCATGCATCTCCGCATGACAAGTACTTGCGGTATTTCCGATATATTTTATCAGTCAAAAATCTAGGATAAATTCATGACGTTCTTATAGAATGAAAATATTCGTATTTATTTATATATCTAAAAACTATTTGCTGTAGGACAATATGTAAAATATGCATTGATGCGATATTTTTGGGATAGATGTCACATTATCTTAGTGTCTTGACTATATGCGCGTGTACGAATGTGTGCATTTATTTGATTTGCGGTATACGTGTGTGGTACTTCCTCTTCACCCCTTAATACGCATGTACTCAGCATGCAGTACAACAGTGTCCGTGAGATACGTATATCACAGTATATACGTAAGACCTACTACTTGCTATATACTGTCAACATTTTTCAAGTGACTGTTCCATGATGCTTCAACATACTGCAATATTAACGAAGTAAATTTTTTATTCTATATCGTATTCATTTTCTTTATTTAAATATTAATAGTTATCATAATAATGTAATTGAAAAATTGCTGAATATATTTCGATTTGTTAACAAATAATGACATTTTTCGTACATAACATTTAATATATTTAAAACATTAATTCTGAGATCGGTTATCTTCATATTTATTGGCAATCAACATGATCAACCATTATACCATTGATGTTGCTAAATTTATACAATCTGTACAGTCATACAAACATTTGCAAAGTAGGAATAATAATGTCATAAGAAGGACCCATACACATGCAATTCTGCCCTCTGTAAAATAGATTAATTCAAGGTTTATTGATA